GGTCTGTCAAATAAATAAAATCTTTTTTTTTTTTTTAAAGATTTTATTTATTTATTTGACAGACATAGATCACAAGTAGGCAGAGAGGCAGGCAGAGAGAGAGAGAGGAGGAAGCAGGCTCCCCGCAGAGCAGAGAGCCTGATGTGGGGCTCGATCCCAGGACACTGGGATCATGACCTGAGCCGAAGGCAGAGGCTTTAACCCACTGAGCCACCCAGGCGCCCCCAAATAAATAAAATCTTTAAAAAAAAATTTTTTTTTTAAAGCTAAGTGAATCCATACATTTATCATCATGAGCACTGAGTAATGGGTAGTAGTATTGTTGTATCACTAAACTGTACACTTGAAACTACTATAACACTCTATATTAACTATAATGGAATTAAAATTAAAATCTTAATTAAAGGGGCACCTGGGTGGTTCAGTGGGTTAAAGCCTCTGCCTTCAGCTCAAGTCATGATCCCGGGGTCCTGGGATCGAGCCCCACGTCGGGCTCTCTGCTCAGCGGGGAGCCTGCTTCCTCCTCTCTCTCTGCCTGCCTCTCTGCCTACTTGTGTTCTCTATCAAATAAATAAATAAATAAATAAATCTTTTTAAAAAATCTTAATTAAAAAAACTAAGTAAATCCAATTTTAAATCCTTAAACATGAAATAATGTGACCCTACAATAGTACTATTTTTTTGAGAATTAAAAACAAAAATCATGGCGTGCCTGGGTGGCTCAGCAGTTGAGTGTCTGCCTTTGGCTAGAGTCACCTCAGGGTCCTGGGACAGAGCCCTTCATCAGGCTCTCTGCTCAGTGAGGAATCTACTTCTCCCTCTACCCTTGACCCTGCATGTGTTCTCACTCTCTCTCAAATAAATGAATATAATCTTAAAAAAAAAAAAAAGTCACTTCTAACTACCATTTTATCTCAATCACTTAAGTTTATTCTAAACCAAGTAAGGCAACTTATAAGATCAAATGATTCTGCTTGATGACTGGGAAACCTAAGGGATTTGTTAGTTACTGAGAAATGCTAGTTTCCCAGAAATGATCAATTTCAGAGAGTTTTTTGGTTGTTTTTATTTTTACTTTTTAAAGTAGGCTCTACACCCAGTGTGGAGCCCAATGCAGGGCTTGAACTCACAACGCTGAGATTAAGAGTTGCATACTTAACTGACTGAACCACCCAGGTCCCCTCAAAGATAGTTTTTTTTTTAAAGATTTATTTGATAGAGGGAGAGGGAGGGAGAGAGAGCGAGGGCGTATCAGATTGGGAGGGGGTGTAGAGGGAGAGGGAGATGCAGACTCCTGAGCAGGGAACCCAATGCAGGACTCGCTCCCAGGACCCTGGGATCATGACCTGAGCCAAAGGCAGACGCTTAACTGACTGAGCCACCCAGGCACCCCCAGATAGTTTTTTAAATGTACATTCCTCTATATTTATTTAAGGTAGATTTAATTATTACCAAACCAAGGAAAAGAGATGGCTGGTGAACCAAACATTTAACAAATGGAATTACTTGGGCTTGGATTACTGGGAGAATTTTTTAAAAACTTAGTTACATAATTAGTCATCAGGAAAAGGCTTAGTAAACAATACTTTGTACTTCATAGCCTATAAACTGCGTATCATACCCTCACATCCCTAAGTCAGGTGGCAAACTGTCCACACTGGACTTGCAAAGATGACCTAAAACTGGTTTTGCGTCTATTAGCTTGACATCCACCCATTTTGAGGAAATAAAGACACCAAAGTGAAGCAGCTGAAAAAAGAATTTCTTTGAAGTTATTTGTGAAAAAATACTATGACATTTTTTCCTTGTTCCCACTTTACCAAGGATGAGTAGCTCAAACTTAGACCTTGATCTGGTCCCCTGTAGATTATGGATACAGGTTCTATGCCTGGCAAAGTCTAAGAGACTGTGGCTCGCTACCTGCTCAAAGAAAACAAAGAAAAACGACTGCATTGCATTGTTATTGGCCTGTACATGCAGACTTTGTCAGGGCCAAGGATGTGAAGTTTTTCCTGTGGACCCTGTGGACCCAATGATGGCATTGGTATGGAACCAGCTTAAGAAGGACTTTTGGCATTTGGATGCCAGGGAGAGTTCATAGGGCAAAGAAACTAAAGGCTGGAGGTTAAGGGCTGAGAACTAATCTTAAGCAGCTGGCTAAGTACTGCCCATTGTGGCAGAGACTAACTCATCAGCAGATCTGCAGTGAGGCACACAACTACACATTTGCTAGATGTGACTTTCTGTTAGAGAAAGCAACATGAGAAAAAGTAATATGGGTCACTGCCAGGCCTGGCCCATATAAATGTCCCAAACGTACTTCTCCTTCCGACTCCATTGACAAAGCATAGAGATCTTTACTGAATAGTTCTTATATACTGAATACCTATTCAGAGCTGGGCTCCTTTTCATACTCTTATTCCAACATACCTATACCAAATGGTAAGAAACCCAACTCATCAGATCCAGTCTCCTAATTATGACTTTCAGATAGACACGAGAGCAATTGTTGGGTTATTTTCTTCTGAAGATATGACAAAAACCTGGTCATCAGAGCTGTCTCGCTGGGGGAATTGGAGAGTATTAATGATGAGGGGCTGTCAGTCCAATTTTCCATGAAGCCTAGTGCACATTTTAGCCTTAGGAGCAATGGGACCCAAAGTCTTTATCTGGTTGCCTACATGGCTTCCTTATAATGAATCCCCATCATCTGAGGTCATACTTCTTAAACTGGTGGACACAACTATGACTATAGTAAACTGGCTATTATAAGTTACGAAACAGTCTAAATCCCTAAAACAGCAATGTTATGATGTGGCAAATAATTCAGAAGAGTATCAAACATGGGCAAATTATGAAGTCAAATACAAAAGTCACACAAATTCTTAAAGTAGATTAGAATTCAAAGAAATTTCACTCTTCATGCATATTTGATTAGACTTTAAGCTGCACGAGAATAGGATCTCCTTTACCCTCTTTATAACCTTTGTAGTAAGCTGAAAGATGGCCCCCAAAGATATCCAAATCCTAATTCCTATGAATGTTTCCTTACATGACAAAGGGGTTTGTAATTAAGATTTTGAGATGGAGAGATTATTTTAGATTATCGAAGTGGAACCTAAATGTAAGCTTAAGTGCCTACATAAGAGAAAGGCGGAGGAAGGTCTGACTATAGAAAACAATGTGATTATGGAAGCAGAGATAGCTGTGACATGCTTGGGAAGATGAAGGTACCACAAGCCAAGGAACATATGCAGCCACCAGAAGCCGAAATAGGCAAGGAAATGAGTTCTTCTCCTCAGAGCCTCCAGAAGGAACCATAACTCAGAAGTTATTTGAGCTGAGCTAGCTTTATGCTATCTACATCAGTCTAAGAATACAAACTATATAACACTTCTGCATTTACAGGGTACACCGTCCTCAACCCTGGATGAGTAGATAAGGGGGCCATAGAGGCTTCAGAGTATTTTGGAGCTTTCAGACTGGGGAACAAATGAAGACTGCAGAGTCGAGTGCCTACAGAGGGCATGGAAGTTTGAACCCTTTCTGCATACCTCACTTTGCATGCATCTCTTCCATCTGGCTGTTGGGTCCTATACTTTTTCATAGCCTTTAATAAGCTGGTAAATGTCTGCAAGTTGATCAAGATGCACCGGTGGATGCTCTTCAGGAAGGGTTCATTAGGGGGCAGTGCTGGAAGTGCTGCCACTGATACCTCACACTGGAAATGCTACTCATCAAGCCAGATAACAGATGATGGAACATTTGGTTCAAAGCGTCCGGGCTTCTCTCAATGGCCTTTCCATTCCTAATGAAACGCTACTTAAATGATTCATGCGGGCTGAAAATTCAGGGAGATGAAAACCTAGCAGATTAAATGGCGGGGTGGGGGGGATCTTTATAAAGAAAAGAGGTAGTTCACACGTGGTACTAAGCTACATATTACCACTCTTCTTTAGACACAGAATATATAAAAACTACGTACATAAAATTATCTATCTATGCTATTTAACGCTCGTCGGGCCTCACAGGAAAAAATTTGAAAAGCAAAGAAAAGTGATTATCATCAATAATTTATATATTACATCCATTCTCCCATTTGATCCTTAAAAGTATAGGACACAGTCACGTAGTCAGGTCTGGTACTGATTTCAGTTCTGCAGTCGAGGAAGCTGCGGCTCAGAGGACGACTTGCCCAAAGGTTAGGAAACGGTTCCTAGCCCAAGGTCTTCTACTAGATGACTTTACATCCATAATATCAACTCACTTAGAAGTATGCTGTGTTAACTTCTAAAATAACTTCTTCGGAAAGAAAACAGGAGCAACATTTTACAATTTAAGAGTGTATTTTAATTTTACGTCTTTGGAAACCAAACGCCACACTCAAGAGACAAGCCGAAGACAACGTGTGGACGAGTTACTTGGCAGTCTTGTTTCCTCGTTTGAAAATGAGAACAGTCAATAGGACCCCCACCCTTTAGGTCGCTATGTGGATTATGTATCACACGGAGAAGGGTTTTTAAGAGAGCTGGTCTCACGGTTTGTATTACGTATTACAGGGCGTCTGTTCCCAAATGAAAATTGACTTTCTGACTTCGAAAGTTTACGAACTCAGGAGATAAGAAAAATCAGAGTTGCAGGAGAAAAACAAAAACAGGTCCTGGGTACCGTTCCTTAAACACTAGACGAAGGGCACTTCGCGTCAACAGAAACGTGTCACAGAGGCGACTCCTCTGTCGCCGGCGACTGCGACGCCAACACCAAACCCGCGGAAGGCCCGCAGGGCACCGACAGAGCGGTTGTGGTGCAGGGGCTCCAACCCCGGCACCAGAAGCCCCGACACATGGCTCCCTCCTCCCAGCCCCTCCCCACTTCCCTCAGAGGTTCTCGTGCCAGAGAATCAGCGACGACGGCTTTCTAGTCTCAAGCCATACTGTCGCCGACCGTGGAGACAACTGCCCAACCCGCGAACACGCCCAACCCGACCCTATGAGATATACCTCAACTGCAAGCCCACAACGCGCGCGGGAAGAAACGCGAGCTCAGCCTTGAGGAACCGCTGACGACCGGAACTCCACCCCCTACCTCTCTGATAGGGTAAACGCGCAGAGGAAGATGAAGCGCATTGGTCAGCAGTCCAGAGGCGGGGAAGCGAAAGAGGACGGGTGGGGAGGGGCGACGAAGTGCCAAGACCCAGCCTCTCTCCGGATTGGACGAAAGCAGGACGTCTGAGCCTGCGTAGACCCAGTTTCCGTAAAGCGCCGCACAGGCCCTCCCCTTTTAAGGCTCGGTAACGGAAGTTTCAACGATTCATTGGTTGTAACGAAGGTGGTGTCTCCTGGCTGCGTGGCCAGTAAAAGGCAAGAATAAAGCGGGTTCCGCCTCTTCCTCGGGCGACTGAGTCCTTCCGTTGCCGTCGGGCAATGTGAGTTCCTTTTTGCTTTAAGACGACGTAACTTCCACTGAGACAAATTAAGATAGAGAATTGTTATGGTGACCAGGAAGCTTCTACTGCGAGTAAGAAATATTTAAGAGTTAGGGCCCTGAAACACCCACGTACCCTCAGAACTTCTAAGTATGACTTCAGGGTTGGAAGGTTAAGAAACCGGTTCTTTAGGCCCTTTTTTTTTTGCGTGGCTTTGTCATTGGCTGAAATAGCTATCAATTTGAAAGTAGCTCCGCCTGCGCCCCTGGGAACTCTGGGATTTGTAGTATCAGACGCTCAAGTCCTGTAGCTTTAAATGCGGTTGTTGCTGTTGTGTTCTGCCTAACACCCACTGACGTTTACTGTGGTTTTTTTATGTGTTCCGTTGCGCTTTTTATCTTTTTACTGATCAGCACCGTTAAAGCCAGAGGACACTTAGGGAAATTGAAAAGATGTCATGTGAGTCTGTAAAGATAAGTAGTTGAAACACTGTACAAACATTGTACTGCTTGGGCGCGCTGTGCTAGATGTTCATAAATACGGTACTAAGATTCTTGGCTTGTAAAAATTTTGCTATTACCATAAAACGGTCTTTGATTTTCAAATTAGTGCGCATTCGAAAATACTTGAAAAGTTCCCGAAACTTGGCCGTTACATACACTGTTTTGGCGGAGGTAGCAGCTGCTTACATCAATCAAGTGTTGATAGGACAGGAAGCAGAACTGGCTGCTGCCTTGACAGAAGAGCGCTGTAGTTAAAATGTCAAGCGTGACCAATCTCAGGTTACACGCATTGTGTATTACTCAAGGTTGTATTATGAAGTCCATTTCCAGCCTCTATGGAAACATCATGTTCCTTTAAGGCCAGGTTTCCCTACCTTTACTGAATCGTTAGCTTTCACTTCCCTGAGCGCATTTAGTAGTATATCATCACTTTTGTGTTTGGCAAAAGTAGAAATCAGTCTATAAAGTGAGTGGTCTTTTCCCTCTCGACAATTTTTTTTTCCTATTTAATATATAATACAAACTGTTCCATTTGTGTAAGAAAACATGATTAGTGATATGTAATAGTTCTACATTCTGGATTTAAAATTAAGTACATTTTATAGGATTACAGCCAAGCAAAAACTGCTTTTATGACTGATGCTTGGAATTATTGCATTTTTGCTTAAAAAATAAAATAATTTTTAAACTTTTTTGTGTCTTCTAAGTGACGAGAGAATACATAAGGTTGTTTGTAAATGAGACATGGAAGATATTTCTTTTTATTCTCAATAAATGAAGAGCCAAACTAAGTGTAATCACCACTATTTCTCCTTTCCACATTCCATATGATGTATGAAGTAAAATCTATGAATACAAAAGTCACCCTGAGGCAAAAATTCAGAATTATCAGTGTTTCGGGTTTTTTAAAAGATTTTATTTGTCTGAGAAAGAGCACAGAAGCAGGGGGAGCAGCAGGCAGAGGGAGAAGTAGGCTCCCCAGCTGAGCAAGGAACCTGATGTGGGACTGGATTCCAGGACTTTGGGATCACCACCTGAGCTGAAGGCAGATACTTAACTGACTTAGCCACCCAGACGTCCCTAGAATTATCAGTTTTAATGCTTTCCATTTTAATGCTATTTTTATAGCATTAAATGCTATCTTAATAGCATTTTAATGCTACTTTTCCTTTTGCCTCCTAAGTTAAGTCAGTGTCTACATTTGAGATATAAATTAAATTCATATAACCAAGAATGAATAAACATTAAAAACTGCAGGTATCAAGACTGCTACTTTGGTTAGCAGTGTTTAGGAGAGTCAACTGAGTGACTGAATTGTGAGCACGTTTGGCTAATCTGTACTAACTGCCCTAAGCGCTTAGTCTTTTGGAAGCTCCCAAAGTGTTCCACTTAAAGAGAAAAAGCTTAGTTATTTGTTCAGAATTTAAAAAATAGAAATTGAAACAGATACCATTACTTCCTTTTAAGATGTGAACCCTGGAATCATTTTTGTATCATGTCTGTTGAGAAAAAGGTTACAGAACAGTCTCAAAGTGAGATAAATGCAAGAAGAGTCTTGAGATGCAGGAAGAGAATATTACAACTTCTTTTTGTATTTACTTTTTAATCTCAACATTTTTTTTCCATTTTTGTTTCTTAAAAAACTATGCACATGATATGACAGTATAGATTTCTTGAAATCTAGCTATCTGATTTGGAGTGAATGGTAAAAAATTTGTGATCAAAATAGTCTGGGAGCATTAAAGAAAAAAATGTTCATGATACTTATTAAAGATAGTGAGACAGACTACTCATGGGAAGCTACTGTGGTGGGGTTTTATAATAGGGGAGAGATACTGAACTCAACTCCGAATATACACGTGGGAATTTATAGCCAATGAGCAGGGTGTGGGGGTGAGTGGATAGAAAATTACTAAGAGGAAATATCAGGGAAAGGGGGATTATTGCTAGATTGAGTCAGCAGTATTCTTCCAGAAAACAGGTTAGGGTAATCACACATCACCTGGGGGATAGTGAAGAATGAGGAACCCAATTAGATATGGTCAACCTGACTTAGCATTCTTACTAGAACTGGACACTGCAAGGGAGGACTTGGGAGCCCAAAGTCAGGCCTACTCAAAAAGAGAACAAGTATACGTGTAGACCTACAGAGACGCTCTCCTATACACACACAGAAATACTTATATTTGCTATTAAAATACAAAGTCCAAATTGTACACAACACTTAGAAATACTGATGTTCAATCACTATATCAAGGATCAACCAGGGAAACAAATGGCAGAAAAAAATTTATATTATATTAATTTTATTAAGAAATATTTTTAAAGAAAATTTTGCAAGGAACTGACTTGCACAATTTTGGGGGCTGGCTGGGGGCAGGTCTGAAATCTGTAGAGCAGGCTATCAGGAAAGGCAAGCTGGAACTTTCAGTCATGAGCTGAAGTTTTAGTCCACAGGCAGAACTTCTGGAAAACCTCAGTTCAGCTCTTAAGGCCTTTCACACGATATCAGGCCCACCCAGATTGCCCTGGATAATCTTTATTTAAATGCCTTCACAGCAACACATAGATGAAGAACTTCAAATCATGAGTTTGAGAGTGGAAGTGTGGGGGGTTGGTGGTCAGGCCTGGAAGTCATTCCAGAAAACTATGTTTGATATAGTGTCTTATATTTGTGGGAGTGGATTAGTACACGCATACAGAACGCACAAACCAATCCTGTTTTCCACTGTCCAGTAAAATACATCTAAAAGGAACAGCCCTACTTTAAACTTCATTCCAGACTGCTTCTTTAACTCCCTGCCTCATTTGGCTGGCTAGTCCTTGAGACCTCGTCCTAAGAGCCTACATTTGAAGCCTCTGGCTTCATTCCTAAGCGCCATAGTCCTCTGTCCAACTCTTGAATCCCAGAGCCCATTGAAGCCTTCCCAATAATATGTAAGACTTATCCCTAGGCAAGCATGCTTTTTAATATGTAAGGGATTCTTCCTGGTAAGCTACCAGATCTGACACTTTTGAAAATGCCAACAAGACTGCTGTTGAAGCCACAGTGGGTGGTGATGAGGACATCCTGTGACAAGTGCCAGCTGGTTTATACCAGTCCCCATGACAAGCTTTTTTCAGTGGTGGTATTTTACCACAGTTTTAAGATGGACTTTATCATGACTCCTTGTAGTTTAGATTGACGAAAGTTGTAGAAGAACTAGTACTGAAAAGGGCTAGTACTGAAACAGATAATCGTGTTCATCAAAAACAGCACCAACTGCCAGAAAACCTCTTGACAGCTGCTTAAAGTGAATTGACTGGTTTAAGCTTTATATTCTCTTCCTGCCACTTGGAAGTTAAAAAGAATGAACAAATAGTAAAATAGCACGCTAAGTGGTGCTAAGAGTTGAGAAGAGAAAAAGGCCAGAGTATTAGACAAAGTAGTCTTTGGGTCTTTTATTTAATTAAGAATTAGGATTATAGTTTATTTTATCCAGTATGGTTAGGACTGAAACAGCTTGGGATCTTTTTTTTTTTTTTTAAGGTTTTATTTATTTATTTGACAGAGAGACACAGGGAGAGAGGGAACACAAGCAGGGGCAGTGGGAGAAGAAGAAGCAGGCTTCCCACTGAGCAAGGAGCCCGATGTGGGGCTCGATCCCAGGACCCCTGGATCATGACCTGAGCCGAAGGCAGCAGCCCAACCGACTGAGCCACCTAGGCACCCCTCAGCTTGGATCTTAATAATTGCTATGAAACAAATTCACTTTTTTCTTAAATAAGATATGAAAGTGCCTATTTGCCCATGCATGTGAAGTGATTCAGAGCTTCTGGCAAAGTTAGCTCTAAATGGAAGTAGCTGAAAGAGTTAGTTATTGAATTGCTAAGGTGAATGCTGCTACACATGTACATCCTCCTCTCTTTTCCTCCTCCTTGCATCCAGTTGATACCAATTTTACTTTTCAGGTTACTTACTTTAAAAAACCTGTTCAGTTTGAGAAAGTTCCATCACACACAAAATTAGAAAAATTGGCATCACAAACCCTTAGGTATATGACCCTATCACCCAGCTTTAACTGATGGCTAAACTTAGTTATATCTATGCTTGCACCCACATTCCTGCCACATCTCCTATCCCAGACATCATTTCGTTTGTAAATATCTCTTTCTATCTCTATATGATACGGATTTTTTTTCTCCAAACGTAACCTCAATAGGCAGATATTTTAATAAGGACTGTTACTCAAGACTAGGTGTGTGAGTTTGAGCAAGATACTTACTCTCTCCAAACCTCAATTACTCATCAGGTGACATTAACTCCCTTTCAGGGCTTTTCTGAAGATTAGCATAACCTCAAAACACCCAGCACAGTGCTTGCCACATTGTAGACATTCAGGAATTGTTCATTCAAGTCTGACCTTTAGTGGCTTATGCCACTTACTTTGAGAAGCTGTAGGAAAGAAAACAAAAAAGGATGTTTGCTGAGCATTTTAACTGTTGAAAATGATCCTT